TCTCCCTGTCCCTCCCTCCCTGAGACAGCTGGGTTGGGTCTCCCTGAACCTGAACGAATGAACACTTTGGGGCACCACAGCAGATTCCCAACTGTGTGACCACAGGCCAGGCAATGCCCCCTTTCTCTCTGAGCCTCAGTTTGTTCAACTATCAAATGGGTTTAGGGCAGGCACAGTCCCTGCCACTTCAGGTGTTGTGGCAGTGAGATGGAACCATGAATATAAAATGTTCACACAGTGCCTGGAGTATTTTAAGTGCTCAATACACGTGAGCTTTTATGATAATTTATTTTAAAACTTTTATTCAGGAAGTCTACGATGTGCGAGGCACTGTTTTAGTTACTGGAGATACAACAGAGACTAAAACAGACAAAATCCTTGCCTTCATGAGACTCACTTTATAGTAGTCAGACAAGAAACAGAGTAAGTAAATTACATTTGAGAACACGATTGAGAAAATAAAGCTGAGAATGGCTGAGAGAGCGTGGGAAGGAGTTTCAGTTTTACAGAAGGTGACTTGGGAAAGTCTGGTTGACACAAGGACATTTGAGCAAAGACCTGAGGAGAGGAGGGGAAAGAGGGAACCACATGGGGTACTCAGGGAAGAACACTCTAGGCAGAGGGAGTAGCGGCAGTGTGCTGGATTAGATCAGGACTGGGACTGGGTGGCAGGGGACTGTCCTGGGAGACCTGCAAGGGGGGCCCCCTGACTCCAGGTGGGACTGGGCACACTGCAGAGCTCTGCAGAGGCTGACGCACCCTGACCTAGGCCACCATGACTTTTTCTGTGTTTGGGGCTAACCCCCCCCCCACACACACACACACACTCTCCCCTGCCTCACAGACCTGTGCTTCCTCCCACAGGACCAGCCTGGGGCCTCCATGGGCTCCTGAGGGCCGGGCACCAGGGCCTCGGGCACGAGCATGGTGAGACACCAGCCCCTGCAGTACTATGAGCCCCAGCTGTGCCTCTCCTGCCTCACAGGCATCTATGGCTGTCGCTGGAAACGCTACCAGCGCTCCCATGATGACACCACACCGGTAAGCCACCCTGGAGCTGGGTTAAAAAGACCCANGGGGGCCCTCGAACATCAGGCCCTGTGGTGGGGGCTTCCTCTTGTCCCAGAGCCAGCAGGAGCTCCCGACAGGGGATGTCTTGGGAACTTGGCTGATATCAGCAGCCCTGGGAGGTGGCTTGGAGAAATCAATGGATCCTAAGTAATGCCATTACCCTGACAGGAAGGGGTTGGGGGAGGGGGGAGAGTCTGGTCTCTGGGAGCTTGTCCTAATGACCAGTGTCTGAGCAGCCCATCTCTGTTAGCAGAATTTCCAGGCCTCTCGGGCGGATAGTCCAGGAAGCTCCCAGCACATCCTTCCCCCTCTTGCTGCCCTGTACTCACCACTGGGGACGTGGGAATAACTCAGGCCATCCTGTGGGAGAGACGGACGTGTCCACAGCACTCACACAGGCTGCCCAGGAAGAATCAGGGATGCCCAGGGCTTTGGGAGGCCGGGGAGCACTCTAACCAAATGTAGGGCTCAGGGGAGGCTCCCTGGAGCTGGTAACATCTGAGCTAAGAGTCAAAGGGTCAGGAAGTGTCAATCAAATGAAGGGACAAGTTCTGGAGTGGTGAGGCTGGAGGAGCTGGAGGGGCCAGATCCCAACCGTGTGCCTGTTCAAAAGCTCACTCTGGCTGCAGGTGAGAGCTTGGATTGGTGGGCAGTGACACCCCCGCCCCCACCCGCACAGGGCAGTGGCCAAGGGAATGGTGAGAAAAGGGCTTTGAGAGCTGTCAGAAGCAGTTTGGGGGTGGTGAGAAGGTCAGCGTGGCCAGGCTGGGTCTTCAGGGCCTGGGTGACACCCCATCCCCACCCTACCCCAGACAGCCAGGAGCCTGCTCTCTCAATGGAGAGGCAGAGATTGGGTGGCCTTGACTGTGCCTGGTAACCGAAGCCGTGGGAGTAGACGAGATGGTCCCAGGAGAACAGGAAGAGGAAAGAAAAGAAGTTTGCCTCCCAAGATGCCCCTGAAGTTATGAATAGTGTGAAAATTCATCTGGGGTGAGTCGGTTCCGAGAGCCACAGTCAGCAGAGTCCTGGCCTGGGGCCTGGTGCAGGCAGCTCTACTTCCCCTCTTTTCCAGACTTGAAATGGAATTTCCATTTCTTGGTTGTAATGCTCACTTGTGGGGGTGGGAGAGTGGAGGAGGACAGAGGACCTATGGGAACTGGTCCCAGGGTTGGGGGTCCTGGGAAACAGATATGAGGACGGGGGAACCTGGGTGTGGGCTCCTGTTCACAGAATGCCCACCTGCTGTACCTCAGTCATTGCAGCCATGTTCCCCCCCNGAGTCACTTTTACACCTTTTACACCTTGAGTTTTACTCTAAGTTTGGGGTCATCACTGAGTTATCCAGGCCATGAGTTCTATACCGTGGTCCCTGCCCAAGATGGTAGGGGCACCCGGGCTGGAGCAGAGCCCTGGCCTGGAGCTGATGGTGTCTAGGCCTCTAAACTTGTCGCAGGCTTTCCTGCAGCTTTCATCCTCATTTTAACTGCTCCAGTCAGTGGCGGGCTCAGGGCTCCTAGGGATGGAGGGGCTCTTCCCCTCAGACCAGCCAAGGACCATGGGATTGCCCTTCCTTCCCCCCTGTGGTGTCCCATCCTGCTTTTCTCCTGGGGATACGTGGAGAGCAGGGGGTGAAGTGTTTTAGAAGCTGCATGCCAGAAAGGCCCTTGGAAATCATCCGGTAGTGTTCAAAACCTCCCATGATACAGACGGGAAGGCTGAGGCCAGAGGCTTGGGGAGGTCACCCAGCCTGCTGGGGGCCGAGCTCAGCCTCAGCCTGTCAGTCCCAGGGCTGGGCTGGGGTTGAGGCCCCAGTGAGGGCGGCCATAGCCCAGAAAGGGAGCGGTTTCTTCTCCATATACGTGTCCTGCCTCCTCGGAGCCCTGGCAGGCTGCTGGAAAAGGTCAGCCCTGTGCCCGTCGTGGGTTGTGAGTGGGTTCCCTTCGCTTCTTGGGTTCTTGGCCCCAGTCCATCCCCCTGGTTCCCTGGTGCCAACCAAAATATTGAATCTGGCCCTTTGAGGTGCAATTTGCAGTGACACAGATGCTGCGGCTGGCATGGACATGGAAGGCGGCAGAAACGTGGGCTCACCCTCCCACTGGGGCTGGTACTGTGGGAAGGTTTTAGGGTTGGCAGCCCTGGATTCAAATCCATCTTCTGCTCCGTTAGCTGTTTAGCCTTGGGCAAATCACTTAATGTCTTGGGTCTGCTTATCTATCCATCAATCGTTATAGATATCTAAATCAAACACATATATATTTATTTAATAGACTTTATTTTTGGGGGGAATCGTTTTAGGTTTACAGAAAAATTGATCGGAGAGTACAGGGAGTTCCTATGTTCTCCCTCCCCCACCCCACAGATTCCCCTATC